TATCCGTTTACAGGATGCATGGTTTTTCTGGCAAACCCGCCAGATTTTATCGTATTCTTTTAACCATATAATTCAAACACAAACAAATGCAATGACTAATGAGCATTATTATAAATAGATGTGGTGTGTCATGTAGCTGAAATCAGGTTACAATTAAACTTGACGGAATAAAAATGGTTCACCTGTTGGTGGGGAATGCGTGTAACGCTGAGCTGTCGGAAGATATTGAAAAGAACTTAAGGGGAGAAGCTGTAGTCTTCTTCATAGCCAACGAAGATTACTCTTTGTAGTATGAAAAACATAAACCCAAATGTCTTCCAGAAATTATTATATCTAAATTTCAATATTATGAATAAGTGGAATTTCGACTTTCAAAGACGACTACCCCACCAAATTGAGATTAATAAAAAGGCCTAACAAAGCGTGACATGCGATGTTTCTTTGCTGGATGTTGGAGCAGAAAATCCCACAAGTATAACTTTGCACAGTAGGTATTTTTTAATCATAATACACGTAATCTGCCCATAATTATTTATGTACCATTCAACTTATTTTAAACTAAGTTCAGTAAGTAGTGAAAAGAGATTGGGATGTGTTGAAGTAAATTCCTTTTGATTTCTAAAACGTTTATTTGCAAGCTAAAATAATTTAAAGCATGTTTGTAGTGAGATCTATCTGCTCATTTGCAACACGGGTCTTAGATACGTTTGCATCAACTGATTAAATTTATCGTATTATTTAGATTATGCCATCCCTCGAAATGCACGTCGATTATTATGCATTTGTTATGCAATATTGTACTCAAACGTTATGCTCATCTGAACTAACAAAAATGTATCGTCTGGGAATCCTTTTTCACAGATGTCAAACAAGTATTTTGAGGTTGCTATGATTGATCTACCGTAAAACTTCAAGCCTTTGTAGTTAAAATTACAAATTTAACTATATTATGGACAAAGGTTTCTGACAGATGAGACTTAGACTTTGCTTGCGCATGAACATGCTTTAGGATTCTGAAAACGTATTAAGCTGACTAAATGACAGTACTTTCTGTTGAAATTCCGCCTATTACATTAACAACCTGAGGCAATAGCATGCTGATATGCACATCCTAATATGCACGTCTAATATGCACACACAAATACTTTTTGTATGTATTCGGAACAAACAACTGATTGTTGAAGAAACGGAAAATCTTATATTGGTAGAAAAAGTATTCAATTAACTTCTGTAACTTAGCCATATATCGCTTTAGTAGATTGTTGACTCCTATACGCATTTGCGACTTTTAGATTACCGGGTATGTGGTTAGAATGATTTTGGCAAAATAAGATTTTACTACACCAATGTGACAACTTCTGAAGTAATAGGATTAATTTACTGCCTAAATTTTAATCCAGGTACAATGTCACAGGAAATGATTTTATGCAAACAACTTTGCATTCCTTCGGCTACGTGAAGTGAAACATCGCAATTATTATGAAATGAGGCTTTCACTTTGGTTATTTGGAAATAAAATCATTCATTTTATGGTTTCATTTGGATTTAATCGTGCACATGTAAGCAACAGAACATAAAATTGCATCAAGTAGCAAAAGGGCAAGATAAATCTGACTGAGTTTCAATCAAACCAACAAACCCAGTGCACCCGCTAAATTGGTTACCCGCTCACGCCCAAATTTGTATATAGGATTCACTGATCTTAGAAACTACGATTCCTAAACGCTGTTCTACCGAGTATGATCTGACGGTGTTTCATTTAATGATGGTAGCAAATTAACGAACTTTTTGAAATATTCACCAATATTTGGTGTGATTTCACTATGCTCATGCGCATCAAGAAACACGGAAACATCTGCTAGGAGTAATGTTCTCCTCAACTACACAGCTTTAGTTAACAGAATATTGTAATAAAAACTGGGGTATCCCAGTTCGCAGATGCACCAACGTACCGCAGCATTTTCGAGAATTATCAAACAGAATGTTGTACAATGTGTATAAAAGTTTCATTCGTATGAAGTTTCGACCATTACAGTGAGTAGTACTCTTCGTATTCATTGTGGGTCTTGTTTCCCCTTTCTAGCTCGATCAATCTGAGAAAGATAGTGTGCAACAAAGTCATGAAACCCCAGTAGTACAAAATATTTTTTGTGGAAGATGAGAAAAAACTATCTGTATTTGTTAGTTCTGAGGTTGAAAAAGGGGTATTTGAGCGCAACAATACGACTAGGATTAAAAACCACCCTGTAACCCACGTGACCACACCTGGTGCAAAAGACAATTTCGAGAGTAAGTAAGCTCCACAGAGCAACACTGGTGACAATAATGATAGAAAATCATGGAGATCACTGCATACAGCATTGGACATGTTGAACAGTGAGCGTCAGGACTCGTAAGTGACAGGAAGAATTGATTTGTGCTGAACTCGCTCAAACGTGAAATAAAGAAAAGGACGCCTCCCATAGAGAATAGTTTCCAATGCTCCATATTTGAACATGCTTGGGCCTGGTAGAGAGTATAAAAACGTGAGAGAATGAAGATATAGAAAGTCTTGCTGACAGAGTGTGATGCAGGCGAAACAAAATCGGGAGAGCAGGCTATAAAGCGGGAAAAGTTGAGGTCATCGTGACTTACAGAGGATGAAAAACCAAGTGAGTTCCACTTAAAATGGCGAGTGGGTGCAAAAAGAATAACTAACGGGGTATACGTCCGCATGATGATCCGAAAAGCCAATTGGATTCTAGCGCACGAAGGGCTGATGATACTTAGGTCCACGTTGAGTGACATGCACGTTGACACTCCAAGTATGGGAGTCACAGAGAAAACGGAGGAAATGTCGAATAAAAATAACAATGCAGTTTAGCGTTCCTGACAAAACTTGGCTAGAATTAATTGGTTGCGATAGAGGTCAACCATTAAAATGAGAAAAGCAGTGCAATATGACATCGAACTTTATGAGTCACCAGATTTCACTGGCATTGCTCCTGAGATGACTCCATCAAAACAATAACGGTCACAAAGAAGGCTTCATAACCACGAGAGAAAAAACAAAGAGGGCCCGAATTCAGGACGTTGCATCAGGAGTATGTGATACCCTACTCAATTAAACGCCTTGTAGTGGTTGAGATGCACTTCGCTTAGGTGGTCAACAGTGTAACTCCAAATGCGCAACTTGTATGTAAATGTGACACTGATCCTTTTTTGTTAATTGAAGCCATATTTGCGCTTACTGAAACGCTCGTGGCGCCCTGATTGATAACGCAGTTACTTTCGTCTAATATATTTATGTATTTATAAAAATCCGAGGGGATATATATGTGATGTTGGTTGTTTTGAACAGGGATTGCAGTATAATCGTAGATTGGGAAAGGTTAAATGGTTTTTCAAAACATAAAGCAATTGCTTCTACCTTTTGTGGAGTGTTAGTAATCAAACGTCAAGAGGCGTTGTTAGCTAGAAGAAAAAAAGAAGAAAACTTGCAAGAAACTAACAACTCGTCCCAGTGTCACCGTCTGGAACTAAATGCAGTGTGTTGTATGCAAATCCAAAATGAGTTGGTTTTGCAAACGGGCAAAACTCGCGTTGATACCTGGAGTGGCGAAACACACAGCGGCCCGAAGAAAATTGCTAAATATGAAGTCGGGCGAACAGGAATTCAGATTTTTCAGTCAAAGTACATTCGCCTAAACTGAATAAACTTTTATTGTAGGAAATACATCGGTTTTAGTTGGACGCTGAAATGGGAAAGTCAGATTTCTGCATTGCTCATCAATCAGTGGCGAAAGGCACCACTAGAAAACAAATATCAGTAAATACAAACCTACTTTGCATTCTCATCCCAATGGTTGTTAGTCCGTCTCAAGCAATAATCTTCCAAAGCCAATGATGATGCAACTTTTGTCCTTTGATTACTGAACATGTTACTGAGACGAAAAACCTATCGTTTAGCTCAATTTTATTAAATGAAACTTGATACGTGTAACTATTGGTTTCTAAAATGACCCCGAAACACTCTAGATTTTTACTTCTTTGATTTGTTTCGGATACGTTTGTCCTTAGTTTCTCTCTTTAGAAGATAATGCTAGCAAAAGTGTCGTGTCCAAAGCTTAGCCAGTGGATTATTTCTAAACTTTCATATAATTACATGTTGTAAACCGAACAAGCACTTCGCTACTGGATATATGTAATGCGGAAATCTGTGAAACTGTTTCAATCATTTTAATGAGAATAAATCCTGTTCTCGAACAGCGAAAAGCAATTCACTTTCCTTACTGCTGTGCATGTTGCTTTCGCATTAACCAGCGTCCAATCCACTTGAAGCTTAACCCCCATAGAAGTGATTATTTATCCCAGGATTTAGCCATGTGAAACACTGGGTGATTTCTTGATTGTTGGTTTCATGAATCGTTGGTTAATGCAAACTGGTGAAGAATTTCTAAAAGCATGAGGTATCTGTTCAGTATTTCAAAGGAATCAGAACGAAAACTAGCATGTTGACAGGGAATTCTTATGTTCCACTGCTTATCGCCCAACCTTTAGTCTTTTCTTAGCAAATATTTACAGCAACACGGTCGCTTAATGAATGTCAATCGGTTCATAGGTGTGAACTGTCATATCAGTTGTTTCTGTGGTAGAAAATTTTTTCAAGGATTTGAAAGTTGTCTTCTTGCGGTGCTAAACAGATTTTTGAACTGTATGGTCTTGTTGCTTCAAAAACCTCTCAACCTGATATTTCTAACTAAATATCACAAAATAAACATGGTAAACAGCTCACTGCAATACCTTTTTATTCTTTTTACTGATGATAGTTATCCTAAAAGCAAATCTTCAGAAAGCAATCCTTATTTATTTATTTATGCAACTGCCAGATATAGTTAATATGATTTTACACGGTCACAAATAATAAAGCTTGGTTTTAATGTTTATCAATCACAACACCTGAATATTACAAGCATGTTGAAAGAACTGCACGTAACCAGCATAATTTCTTTTTCGTTCAGGGCTGTTGGAATGGACAGTATTGCTTGCTCAGCTGATTTGAGCTGGCCGAACGCTCAACACAATTCGGGGATAAATGAGTTCTCAGGTTCTGCAGAACCGGTAGCCAGTAATACTGCTTCGGGCAGCATGGAACGCACTCGGCGAAATAGTGGTCCGGGTATTGTACCACTACGTCTGGCCCATTTGTGTCGTGGCCTTACTTTGCCAGATGTGAACGGCTGTTGTTTTGAGTTACACAGTCCTGATGGCAGGCGGTCGTGTCTGCTCCGTGCTCCTGATCCGCAAGAAGCACGCACGTGGTTTGACGCACTGCATGCTCGGATGAAAGCATTGAACGGGGCTTATCTAGCTGAATTGAATGGATTGCTTCCGCCAACGCAGGTAAATGTGACAACCATGTTCTTCTGTATTAATTAGTATGATGGATTGAAAATATTTTCCTGGAAGCTTACGGCCTGTTTCACTATGGATGGCACTCTTCGGGTATGCCCATCTGGTAATCGCTCACCTTGTCATCTAGTGATATATGTTCTGTTGCGCTGTTATCACGCTTTGATTTTGTCTGTCTTTGAACACAAATCACTGTTGAATAGACAGAAGTAAGTGTAAACAGTGTCAACTTTTAGCATACAAAAAGTTCTGCCTAGAATATATATCAGCTAATATTGATTCCAGTGATACAATGTATTTGGGTGAACTTTTTCCTGAGATCTTAGTACAAACTAATGCTTGTTTTGGAAAGCACAATCGGTGTGTCTACGTTTTTTTCGAGGTTGAACAAAAATACACTCTAACTTCGTCCCAAACACAACCGATGGCATATAAATGAAAAGAATTACTAGAGTTCATACTGGAGTTGTCTGTACTGCAGTCGCAGTTAACTCCAACTCATTGCAGTTACGTACAATGCTTATGAATAATACTTCCTAGTGTTAACCGAATTCGGTTAACGTATCAATATAATAAGTGAAAAACTGTCACTATTTTTGCCTCTGCCACGTTTGTAGAATTTTAACACCTAAACGATCCACTCTTATCAGGCGTGCAAATTCTGAAGCCAGAAGCAGTCAGATTGAAAATTAGCACAAAATGGTTTGGTTCTGACTCAATGGCTCCCGTCTCATGGTAAGAGTGCACATTATAACTATCTCGACACCTACTTCACCACATAATCGAAAAGTATTTTCAGCGTTGGTAACTTCTATTGTACCGTTTTCCGCTATATACACCTAGGTGGTTTAAGCAGAGACCAAAGTTTTGAAGCCATGTTTTATTTGTCTATTACGCAACAGACATCCATGTTATAGGTGACAGCTGAAAAGCTTCGATTTGAATATTAGAAAATATTTTTTCATTTGTATAATTTTTACATTTGAACGCTGTCAAGCAAAGTTCCGTTTCATTTCTGTTAAATTTACATCTGCCTGCTTAATAGAAAAGAGGGAAATGTTACAATATTTTGAAGCATTTCTTTACTCCTGCGATTAAACCATGTTCTGTGAGTGTTCTCCCCACATTTAACAGCGTGACTCATGATGCTTTTATAATTGTGCACTATATCAGTCATGCATTTTGCACTTCTTTTTCAGCTGTATTAAATTAGCATTATATTTTATGGTTGAATGTTGGTTGGGCAGTAAAATAAGGAACTAAATGAGAAAAACGTCTTTATTTTTCATGTGCCTAATTACTACAGCTTCAAAAGGCTTACGGCGAGAAATTCATCTTAACAACAACATCATTTGCTTTCGTTTACTCCAGTTGCCAATAGAGTAGAGGACTCGATGGGATTTCAGTTCATACTTGATCATCGTTTGCATCTTTGAGCGGCGTATGCTCGGATGTCTGAACAACTAGAAAACAAATAATGCTCTGGACCTGTCACATTTGGGTACCCACCTAGTAAACCACAGAAGTATATGAGTATACAAGGTATTCGTTGGATTATAGTGATTCTGAGGACAACCTATCGTTGAAGTTAACTTTCGTGCTACGTGACTGGCATACATGCCTCTGACGGTGGGTGTTGGTTAAACTCGTTTGAAATGATCAAGGCGGTGGTTGTTGCCTTTCAGCTCAGGTGGTCGAGGACAAACTGTAGAGAGATGTAGACGGTGAAGGGATATGGGTTGAAATAACTCGGAGGCTCCTGAACTAAATTGTTATTCATATAGTGACCGGAAACTTGTGGCAGCAATTCAAAGTTTTGTCTCTTCAAGCACGTTCGTAACTTTTATAAGCTCCAAACTGTGTCCACTCAGAACATGTGAACAGTCTGAACTCTCAAGACGTTTTCGTATGTATATATATATATATATATATGTGTGTGTGTGTGTAAGTGTGCAAGTGTGTAAGTGTATATATATATGTAATATCGAATCCTAGTTTAGGTCAACATGTTGCAGTTGGTTTGTTAAAACTGAACGTGAACATTCGCCAACTCTTCAAATTTAGATAGACAGTTAGATAGATAGATAGATAGATAGATAGATAGATAGACAGAGTTGGTTAAATATTTGCTGCTGTTCAATCCTTATGAGATCTGCACAATAATACGAAGTTATTAAAATGTGCTTCAGTGAGAGTCACATTGTTTACCTAAACAGTAAAGTCAGAACCGAAATGTGCAATATGGAGATGGTGAAACCATCATTTTTCACTTCTGTTTATAAATCGGATGAGCTCTATAGCTCGAAGTGGGGTAAAAACATATTGCACAACATATGTTTTCAACGTCCAATATCATTTTCATAGAGCGACCGATTGAAAAATCAAAACTATACAAATTATGAGAATCATGAACTAAATCATATATCCACACCGGTCTGTAAGAAATGCTCAGATTATTATTCTTTCCTGACACCACAATATTGGACATCATATGATGTTGATTACTGAATCATTGAACCAAGTGAATTTATAAGACATCTAAAAAGTGCACAATTTTATTTGTTTTAACCCTTATATTTTGTGATAACTGAGTCGCGTTTGTAGTCTCAGACATTAGTGCCGTAGTTAAGTAATTACTTATATAACTGGAAACTAATGTCTTTCTGCATTAGGGAACTAAATAGACTTGTCGTTATTCACCACGGTATCAAAAAATTTTCTATACAAAGATACTAAGTTTATTCAAACGTTGGAACTTTATCCCCGGTGTCAGTTTGTGTGCAAAAAATCTCTGCCAGCATACTTACTACGAATACTCATCATATCAGCAGTTTCTCACAATGCTATGGTGGTGGTGGCCAAGCGGTTAGGTCACCGACTTGTCACCTGTGAGTCCCGGGTTCAAACCGCTCCAACTCAACCCGTCTTTCCAGGCAGCCTTTGTATGGCCGCGGCCCCTCTTCCTAAATGTTGACTGCACACTTGTTCATCCAATAAATAAAAAGGGAAGTAAAAAGACATTTATTTACTTCTATCTATCACAGGGTAAGATGAAGTGAGTTACTGGTGGTATGCTCACCACATGCCTTCAGTCACGTAGTCAGTAAAACCCCACACAATTGGCCTGGGAAGCACACAGTGTACACAATTTTTAATTCCTTTATCAAATACAGCCATTGCCGCATTATCTGAGTTTAAAGCAAAAACATTTCTCTTTGTATTTGTATAACTTGTGTAAGCATATATGCTTATATTTAATTTAAAAATGTACACTGTTTCTCACGCAAAATGAAATAATGATAAACGCGAAAGATTAAGAATGTTGTTGAAAAACGGCCTGATTCAAGCGTTTCAATGCCAGAGTTTAAGTTTGAAGATAATTATTCGCCTCTGCGAACCGGTAGTAATGATAATTAGTATGTTTTGTAACCGTATACGTGTTCACTTCAACAGTTTCAAAACTGGCTTTCATCTACTCGTCTATAGTGTTGTTGATGTCTCAGCTACCAACATCATTTCAGGAATTAGCTAGCATATCGAGTTCTAATTCCCTCAGAAAATATCCCTTATATACAAACAACAATCAGTTCACTGTGTCCACGTGTAAGCAGTTGTTTTTTGTATCGGTGGTCGTTTTGTTTTTATTTCAATAGAACATTAAATTTGGCGTATTTTGCATTCATTCAATAACTGGGAAAAGTGATGTATTTTGCTCTGCAATTCTGTATTGCTCTTGTGGTCGTACTGATACGACTCTTAATGGTATCGGCTTTTTTTGCGACATACTGCAAGCCGGTCTGAACATTATTATACGAGTATAACCATACCACGGCACTGATTTCAAACCAATATGGTACCATCAAAATCATGTGCGGTGCATATTACTGAAACTGAACTCATTTGTTCCATTTTGCCTGTTCGCCGAGCTTGGCAATTTGTTTGCAAACGTTTCATCACCAGCCGAGGTGACATCATCAGTGCTTCTGAAGTGGTAGTGTTCTGTCTGTACCCGTTCGTTTATATATGCAATCTTCTCCACCAGCTATTTTCGTCCCCTGTTCTCGCTGTGTTCGACTCGGTCCGCCGTTGAACTGTTGCGAGCGGGTGGGGGCGGGAGGGGAGGAAGTTGTCCTTTCGTCCCGATTGCGGTTTTCGTTCGCTCTCAGGTCACGACATTTGTTGCGTCATTTGGTCCTTCATTTGTGTTGGTAAAGCATTACTTTGGTGTTATGTGAGAGTAGCGTTTTATGGATTCCTCGGTATTGCCCCTCCTGCGAAGCGGTGATAAAGCCCCAAATATGGTCTATTGTAAAAACTGAAAGCGGGCAACTTGGATGATTACGTGTCTTATCAAATTCTAGAACAGAACACAATACCGAAATTGATTTGTCTAGAGTTCGGAAAGATTCTTTCTCACTGTACCTCACTTTGTACTTTGACACGAATATGGCATGTACTGATCTTTTTGGCAAATCACATCCGAACCGCTAGATATTCCGTTTCAACGAATGTTCGACCAAGCAACACTCCCCGAATCGTGGAAACAAGGAGCCATTTCATCCATAAACAAAGGCGTTTGTTGTAGTGACCCCGCTAACTACCGAACTGTAACACTGCTTCCGGTGCTATCGAAAGTCATGGAGTCAATTTTGGCAGATTCTCTGATGGAACACCTCAAAATATACAACATTCTCTCGACAGCTCAATACGGGTTTAGGCAAAAGCGATCCTGCTCCACCAACCTGCATTTTGTTTGAGATGAATGGACCAATACAGTTGACGGAGGGGATGCGATGGATGTAATTTATCTCGACTTCGCG